CCACGCCTCACACAATTTCCATTAGCAGCTAATGAAGCATTAAAAAAGTGACAAAAAAAAAGTAGAAGAATAAAAAGAGAAGCCAGAACAGAGAGAAATGCGAGTACTTAACGCCATATTTCCAAGGAGCTCAAAAAGCGCACAGCCATAAAATGAAATAAAAGAAAAAAGCAAAAGAAAAGGCAAAGGCAAAGCCCGTGCTCCCAGAAGTGAATGGAGGAGAGAGGGCAGAGAGTAAAGTGAGCTCTCGCTGAAAATATAAAAGCATCACGAATTAAATACCTTTTAGCAATTAATCTGCTTAGCTAATGGACGTTTCCCAATGCGGACTGCCAACTGCCGACTGCGAACTGCGACATTGGATGGTGCGGAGGAGGCAGGACTTACATTAGGCTTATGGCCAGGCGGCAGACTGACTGTCCGAGCGACCAACCGACCAACCAGTCAATGGAAAATCTCTGCATCGAAATGGCAATGGCTACTCTAACTATTTGTCCGTCTAATTTCATTCAATAAACTCGCGCCACATCCCACCATTGGCCATTGAAGCCAATGTTCCTCGTCGCTCTCTATCCACGGGATAAAGCCTGTCCCTTAGTCTGTCTGTCCGACCCGACTGTCTGTCTGTGTCCGTCAATGCTTTCAGCACTTGAATGTTTGCCTTTTGACCGGACTGACTGCCTGCCTTGGAATGCCCATTTATTTAGCTCTGCTCCGCCTTTTATTTTTAATTGACGCCGCCAGTTGGTTTTTAATATCACTTTGCAGCTTCGATTCACATTCGATTTGATTTGATTTGATTTGATTTGAGGCCACTTCACTTAATTAAGCTATTCATGTCAAAGTTCAGCGACTGTTTAAATTTAATTTAGTAGCAGATGAGGGATAAAATCCTCTACAAAAGTTCTCAGGTAAAGTGGAGCTGCTGCTCTATTAAAAGAGACAGACTGGCATGCATTCTGGTAGCCCACTGATAACGCTGCCGAATCTTGTTTTAGAATATTAAACATCGATATCTGCTGCAAACGAAAATCTGGAAACAAAACGAGAAATGCTATTTCCATTTGAAAAGTATTCTAATTCCACATTCTTTTCTAGCTGAGAATGTGCCTGTGCCATTGACTTTGGCAGAGTGGCTGCAAAGAGAGTTCAGCTTCAATTAATTTAAATATTTCTATTAGTTTCTTTCAATGAATGTGTATCTGAGAAAAGTAACTTATCTGCTGAAAATAGTAGCATTTTTTGTCTAAAAAAATATTAAAATAAAATATTTGCCAATTACAATCACCTCTTAAAAGAAATTCCAACACAGTTAGACCCAATTCATATGGAAATAAATATTGAAATGGGATTAAAGCCCACAATTTTGTTCGTTGTAAGTGGAAGTCATTTCCTAATCCAAGTAATTTCGTAACCCAACTATTTATGCAACATTTTCTAACCAATTCAATAATATATTGACTCATTTAAGCACGTATTTTAGTGCCATTTATGGCACTACTTTTGAGGCATCACTTTACCATTTACAGCAGACATTTAATCCATTTTCCATATGTATAATTTACATGCATTTTATGTTGTCTCGCGTTGCCTTCTTTATTTTTTTGTGAATTGAAAGCTGCGTAACATTTTTGCCTGACGCGTGTTCATTTGTAACATTTATGCCCTGCTGTTTTATTTATGTGGCAGGCCCATCATATATTTTATGTTATTATATATTGAACATATACTTATGTTGCATAACGGCACGGTCAGAGTCAGCGAGTTGGAGCTGTGTATGCCAGTGCCAGGACTGTGTTTGGGTTTCGGGTTCGCTTTTCTCAGTCCCATAATGATAAATCATGCCACGGCCACGTCCTCTACCTCACTCGTGGCGCTGCTCATTGCTGGCTGTCATAAACAAAAACATTTGATTGAAATGATGTTGCTTCAGCTGCTGGTTGGCGCCCTACACCACACCCTGCCCTTCCCCACCCTACCTGTTGGCCTTCGTGTTGGACCTCCCTCTGGGGAGCTTCGCATATGTGTTTTATCCATTAAAGTGTCTCCCACAGTTAAATGAAGCGATCCCAGATAAGTGAAATTAACTTTTTCCACCCACACACACATTTCGGTTATTTCCATTTTGATTTTTTTGCTTTCTTTCTTTGGACCTTTGTTATTTATGCCCATCTCAAATTCATTGGTTTATTGTTTTTGTCAGCCTGTCTGACAGCCACTCGCTCTCAGTCTCTGTCGCACTCGTATAACCCATCAAAAATGCGGTTGTTTTGATAGTTGTTGCCCCAGCCATCACTTTACTTTGTTTGCTTCAGTCCTTGAGTCCTGCCTCCCTCCTACGGAAATCAATTGCCGCAGCAATTTCGGTTAGCGGTTGATTGATATAAATAATAAACTAAATCTGACGACTGGACTGGACGGGACTCTCTCCTCTTCGGGGGCAAGTTTAGCAGAAGCAATCGGCTGCTAGAATTTTGATGACAGCAAAAATGTTCGTATCAAAGGACAGAAGAGAAAGATTGGAATGTATCAAGTTGGATATGCCTGGCTATACTCACATTAATCTGTCACAAATGTGATTCATTATATAAAGGAATTTATATTTTAAAAACATTTTTAGAAGGTTAAAAGTTCATCCTGAAATTGAAAATACATTGGCACTACTTGGAAGTTATACCTTTTTCACATGATAAAATTCCACCTAAGCATAATATAATTATTCCACTCTCTCTCTCTCTCTATCCATCTCTCTCTCTCTCTCTAGCTCTCTCCCTGTCATTTGCATCTGTCATTTACTTGCTGATGTCCATCAGTTCCAATGCTTCGTTTCCTTCTTGCCATCCTTCCTAAGAACAAACTCAGTTTCTCTGCATTCCGGGAACCCTTCGAGCACTTTTGGGTACAATAGAAAAATCATGTCAATCATATACAGTTTCAGTTATTCAGTCAAAGTCAAAGAGAAAAGCAAAGGAAAAAGTTGCAGAAAAAAAAGCTGCATGATGAGTTTCCCCCAGTCATATACAAAACAAACTTTTGTTGTTGCTTATTCTGTTTCTGGACATGGTCAGAGAGTACAGCTCTTGGTGTGTTACTGTTCCTGTCTGTGTCCCTGACCCCCCTAACTCTCACTCTTTCCCTTCCGTTGGTCCTGTCCGTGACCCCATCTCCGACTGCTACTCTTCCGTTGTATCTATGACTGCCCTGACGCCCTGACTCGGACTCTTTTCTCTTCTGATTTCACTCTTCTATTTCTGCTCCTGACCCCTGGACTCCTACCCCCATAGCTCTAACTCCTTTCTGTTCCGTTGAATCTGACTCTGTTGCGCATATCTTTGCATTCTTTTCCATCACACTCTTTGGACGCACTTGCAAAGGGTATCACGATTCGGATAAGAAGTTTTGACGAAAAGCAGAGACGAATCTATCCTGGAACAACCACTGAAACCACTATAGTAATCGGTTGATTCCAGATCTTATAACCAGTGTGGCAGTGTGTCAAAAGTCTCGACTTGGCTGGCCTTTATTTATTGTTCTATTTTATTAAAGTGAAAATGAAATGAAATAAAATATTTGGCTCTTGATTTATTCAGAAATCTCTGTGGAGATTTTTATGATGAAACAGGAGATGGATATGCTGGTTCTGTTGAGGGGGGGGCTAGTGGGCAGTGGGGGGGTTGCTCTGTGCGTTTGTTATTAAATAAATTGACTGACACACACACACAGTGGTGGGGGGTGATGCCAACAACATCCTTCAGCCAGTCACAGCTGAGTCGAGCAGAGAGTCGAGTCCGAATTCGCATACGAGTCCAGAGACCTGTCCTGTCGAGTCGAGAGTCCTGCTGCTGGCCCAGGCCCTAGGTAGTTCATCATGTCATGAAAATTGTATGGAAATTTAATTGAAAACATAAGCCAAGGATAACAGGCCAAAAAGGACAGGCAATCGCACACACACAAACACACACACTCGCACACACTCGCACAAAATGGCGGCCACATAGATCGGGGCGTGCGAGCGAGCGAGACAGAGTCATTGAGCTTAACAACTATGGCCGCTGCCCGACTGCTCCGCCTTCCCGTCTGTTCCCTGCCCTGCTACCCACAGGAAGTGTACGAAATGATATAAATAAATAAGCAAACTACAAGATAAAGCTATTTGCAATTTGATTGTCAATTTTCATGAGCGAGAGAGACACAACCAAAAGAGAGACAGAGAGGGAGAGTAGCAACTGAATGACAGAGTGAGAGTGGCTCTGTGTGGGTAAAAGTTGAGTCAGGAATTGTCAGGACATTTCCGCCGCAAAATCGAAACTTTGTGCCCCCGCTCCCCTCACTTCCCACTGGCCCCACGGTGTGTCTGTTTGTGTGTGTTCTCGGTTCATCTGTCAGTGGTTGAAGTCATTTACTCATTGATGCAGTCAATCAAATTTCATGAGTGATTTTCGGTTAGGCCAAAAGAAAACTTTTCCTCTTCTCACTCTCCTTCTGCAGCTTGTCCATTTTCATTTACATTTTACCGCTTGATTGGCCCGAATGCCATTTCATGTCCATCTCAATTTGATTTGCCTGCTGACTGCCTGCCTGCCTTTCTACCTTTCAATTCCAAAGTTTAATTGCATTTTCATCCAACAATTCGACAAAAATGTATTTTCTAGTTGAAGCATTTTTCCACACAATTAAAAGCTGGCGCCATTTTATGAAGTGCTTGTCCTACCCCGTCCCCTGCACTGCCACAGAAACCACTGAGCCACCGGTCCACCATACCACCACCGACACTCATCCTAATGATCCACTTCAAAAGCCAACCCCACAATCCGGGGGAAAAAAAGTGAAACCTAATTAAAAAGCGCTTAAATACTGGGGCAGAACTCCACTGGCCGTGTGCTAATTTCATAATCCAAATAAAGTTTCAATTAATTTTGGCCTGAAAACAATTTATACATTCATTTTTCCTGCTCTCGTGCATACCCTGTAAATGCATAAAAATAGCGGGTAGCTAGGGGTTTTAAGTTTTGAATTTAAGTGCTATTTATGGTGCACTTTGCGTTAATTTAGTTACATGAATTGTAAATCAAATCTCGCTTTCTGGCGCGCGTCCTTTCCAAAGGAATAAGTATAACAATTCAATTTTTGGGTTTATACTGATCTGAAGGCTGGGAGTAAATAAATTAATTTTAACAATAAATAACAACAATACGCACCGGACATAAATAGTAAAATTCTTTACTTCTTAGCATTAATAAGCAACAATCTGGAGTGAGTGCCAGTCGGTGCACGGTGCCACACAACGAGGAGGAAGAATCAGCTGAAGCCGCATTATCGCCGCAAATTATAAACAAAATAAATAGCAAATGCTGCTATGCCTCTTTCGAAATCCTATAAAGGGTCTGTCATTATTTAAGCACTAAAATAATCATGCAAAACATTACCCAAGCAGCATTCAGTGTTGTGTATATTCTTGATATTTATTTTTGAGAACTTGCAGCAGGAACAGTCGAATAAACAGTTGGCGCAGTTTCCAAGGCATCCCATTAATTTGTATTTTTAGCTTGAAATGAGTTTGAAGCACATAATAAGTACTTTCTAGTCGGCTTACAAGCGGAAAACTTTCACGCCAAATAACGGAAATGAAGACGAAAACGAAGCACTGCACATGATAACTGAAGGTACCTTAGATGAATCTGCCAAGCCGTCACCTATATTCTTATCTGAAGTCAGTGATATAAAAGGAATGCTAGTTTACCTCGAGAATTAAATAAAAAAAGAGCTTTTCTTTTATAAAGTACAACGCGATGGTCATGTGAGAGTTATGGTAAAGTCTATTGAAGAATACAGAAAACTTGTTAAAACTCTTACTAAAGATTTTGTCAGATTTCACACATACCAGCTTAAACATGAGAGGGCATTCAGAGTTGTTATTAAGAATTCACACTTCTCAACGGATATCGACTTAATCAAACAAGATGTGGAGTCCAAAGGTCACGCTGTTAGGAACATAAGTAATATTAAAAGTCGTGTAACCAAAGAGTCATTGAATTTGTTCTACTTAGAAATTGAGCCCAACAATAAGAACTTAGATATATACAAAGTTACAAAGTTAGTACCTCGAACAAGTCTCTAGAAAGAATCGAACAGCTTCTAGAAAAACAATCTCAACTTACCAATAATTTACTTAACATGATAATGTTACTTGTAAATAAGCTATGCAAATAAATCTAAACTAGTAATATGGAATGCCAGTGGGCTTTCCAACCATGGAAATGAAATATCTTTATTTTTAAAAACGATTGCCATTGACGTCATGCTTCTTTCAAAAACACACTTCACAAGCAAATCTTTTTTTAGAGTTATTGGATACGACACAGTAAGAGGAGCTGACCATCCATCAGATTGACTAACCCGAAGGGATCCGAATTATACAAATGCGTACGAAACAGTAACATAACAACTTTGTCAACTGGTGTGCCCACATACTGGCCAACTGATGGTCGAAAAATTCCAGATTTGATTGATTTCGTAGTATTCTCTGGAATCCCACAGTCACACATGCGAGTAATGGAGAGCTTTGACCTTAACTCAGATCATTCTCCAATAATAGCAACTTACAGCACAATAGCCCATATGTTGGAAAAGGTCTATAAAGTCATTACAGCCTCTACAGACATTAACGCATTTAAAAGCTATTTAGACTCAGCTATAAGCCTGGACATTTCCCAAACCAATTGTACCTTTCAACCGAACTTCGACAAAAAATACAAACTAAAAGGAACCTGCGAAGACGCTGGCAAGAAACTCACTACCCTGCTAACAAAAGATTATACAACAAGGCTGCATCTGAGCTTAGACAACTGCTGTCGAACTTACGCAATGAATCTCTAGCTGCGTATCTGAGAAACTTAGACCCTAATTCCAGCAACAATGAATACAACCTATGGAGGGCTACTAAATACCTAAAGAAACCAGCTAAAAGCCACTTTCCAAGGCAACGGAAATGTGCAGAGAGCATTATGATTTAGGATCATAATTAGCTANAATAACAACTTTGTCAACTGGTGTGCCCACATACTGGCCAACTGATGGTCGAAAAATTCCAGATTTGATTGATTTCGTAGTATTCTCTGGAATCCCACAGTCACACATGCGAGTAATGGAGAGCTTTGACCTTAACTCAGATCATTCTCCAATAATAGCAACTTACAGCACAATAGCCCATATGTTGGAAAAGGTCTATAAAGTCATTACAGCCTCTACAGACATTAACGCATTTAAAAGCTATTTAGACTCAGCTATAAGCCTGGACATTTCCCAAACCAATTGTACCTTTCAACCGAACTTCGACAAAAAATACAAACTAAAAGGAACCTGCGAAGACGCTGGCAAGAAACTCACTACCCTGCTAACAAAAGATTATACAACAAGGCTGCATCTGAGCTTAGACAACTGCTGTCGAACTTACGCAATGAATCTCTAGCTGCGTATCTGAGAAACTTAGACCCTAATTCCAGCAACAATGAATACAACCTATGGAGGGCTACTAAATACCTAAAGAAACCAGCTAAAAGCCACTTTCCAAGGCAACGGAAATGTGCAGAGATCATTATGATTTAGGATCATAATTAGCCAAACAAAATAGAACCGTCCCATTAGTATGTTGACAATCTTCTCTAAAGTGTTTGAAAAAATACTATTGAAGAGAATGAATAAAATTCCTGAATAAAAAATTCGGCTTCACATCTATAAATGAAGCTTCCGAACTCCTGCAGAGTAAGCTAATGATGTTAAAAAAAATAAAAATGAATGAAAATTTGTGGCTACCCTTCGACATAAAAAAACATACTTTTTTGTTTGTTAGCGAAGCATTTGAAACTTGTTAGCCTTGAATGAATGAGTGGGGAGAGAATTTCCCGACTTCGGGATAGGTCTGTCTCAGTTTTGGATGCGTTTTGTAACATTAGAAGGGATCTGCCTGGGTCGAAAGTGTATTTTTCATGGAGGTATGATATTTACTGTTTATTTTTGTGGCCTAAAATTATGGACTTGGCAGCACATTTCAGTATGGTATGGCTACCTGCTTACATACCTTACATACCTATGTGTTCAATTACGTTTGTTGAGAGTAGCAGCAGAGACTTAGCAGCCGGAGCTCGCTCTCGCTCTGTAAGCCAGCCTCTAAGCTAAGCTCAGGTTGCTACCCACCCCCGTACATTCCGGTACACGCGAGTCAACATAAACAGTAGATTCTACATACGTACACATATCTTTATATATATACATATCCGTTGTATCGCCTCCTTATTTCGGGACCGAGGATTTATCTGAAGCGACAGGAAGCCGCCGTATTACGAACAACATACACTAATATATTAATTTTAATGGTAAAATTTTGTCATTCTTACTTGCAGCAAAAAAATGAATATAGAAAATTTTGGAAATTTTTAAATTTTGATGTTTTACAGACGACTTGAAATATACGATTGAGAAATTCAAGACATTTATAATGTAAAATGAAAGAAATAAAAGGAAATGCTTACTTTGATCAGACAGAAGCTTTCCAAAAATCCAAATGTAATCGCAAAAAAGTATTCAATATATTCGGTAGCCTTAGGTATCCACTCTGCCAATTTCTAAATGTCCTCAGCGCAATCCCTATCCTTTTCCCCTTTCCCTTTTGCGGGCACGTTCAACCCTGGCATGACCCTCATCCCCTCTCAACTCTCGTCCCTCATCTACCGTCCCGTTTTGTCTAAGTGATTGCGATTTCTGGTCCGGTCTGACATTCGCCGTTTGCCCGTCTACTGCGTTTTGGGGCCCCAACTTAATAAATGGCTGACATTTAAAGCGCATTCGCCTCTCGCCTCTCGCACCCCGTCCCCGCCCATGCCCATGGTGTCGTTGTTCGTCTCCATTTCCATTGCCAGAGCTTGACGTTTTTCTGAGCTTTTGTTTCATAATATAACGCTACATTCTGCTGGCGGTGCACACACACACACACTCACACGCATCCGTCTGCAAGCGTTTAAAAATAATTTCACTGGCTTCCGGACGGTCGTCGGTCGTCTCTCTCGACTGTCAGGCAGCCAAAAAGTATGCTCATATATTTTAAAAAGCATTTGCCATAGTCCTCCCACTAGATGCTCCTTAATAACCAAACACAGAGGGGGTTGCGGGTGCGAGTGTGAGCGGGCACAAAAAAATGTGTTGCATACTCCAACGTGGAGTTGGGACAGGCGACAGGCAACAGACGATGAGGATTACGTTGAGGCTCGCATTTCTTTTATTTATAGGTTGACGCGACGTGGTCTGGACCATACATATTGCCGCTATATAAACACACACACAATACACACATAAATACATATTTGTGTATATCCCTCACTCATATCCGGTTTTGGTTTCGGTCGCATTTCCGTTTCAAAGTTTTTCAGTTGCTGTTTGATTCTCTGTGAAATATTGCAATCCTGATGAGCTGGGGACAGAGCAGAGGAGACTGGCAAAATATGCTCGAGTGGTTTATAATTTTTGCTTGCAAACCTTTTTTGTTGTAAATTCTTTTTTTCTGGGTGTCATGGGGTTAATGTGATGGCATACAGCGAACGAGATGCGTTACAAGTGGGGGCGGGGTGTTGCCGTTTGTGGGGAGCGAAACGAGTTGACAATTGGCGGGTTGAAAGGGCCATCATTTGTTTTGGCTGTTCCAAACCGAGGGGTCGTACTCTTTTTTTGGCGACTGTGATGATGGCCGTCAGTGGTGGTGGTGGAGCAACATTTATGGGCGTATTTAAATATCCAAGTGGTTTTTAATGAAGCGTAACGGGGCTTCCCCCATGAGAGATAGAGATACAGCAAAAAAAGGGCAAGCAAGGGGCGAATGAATGATGGATAGATCGTGACTTGGTGGCGTAGTAAGAGTGTGTGTTTGTCTGCAAATTATTCTTTTAGGTATAGCTTGGTTCGATGCCGCGGGGATTGGTATACATATGTACATACATACATATTTGTGTGTTCATACATATGTACTTAAGCATAGAAACTTTGAGGAAATATCTAAAAGAGAGCTCTACGATAATGTACAATTAAGAGTTTGACATATCAGAGCTAATGGAAATTTAAGAAGTTACTAACCAGGCTGTGGATAACGAATATTATATCTTGATGTAAGTGAAACTTATAATTTGTATTCAAATTAAGGTCGAAATAAAATAAATATTTTTGTGTGTTTGAGTGTCGCAATAAAAAACTTGATGAATTATAGAAAATTAATACAGACATAATAAAGCTACTTATTTTACACTAAAAAATATTGCCAGTATTTTTGTAATATTTAAACCCCTAAATTAATTTATGTTTAGAGTAAGCTTTTGCATATATTTCCTGTTATTTGATTCGTTGTTTATTGCCAAATTTTCAGTGAAGTTCATGATACCCAATCTACATTCAACAAGCAGCAAACAGAGTCCACCAACCATTATTCAACATATTTATATTTATATTTATATAGAAATAATAATGCCGAACGCGTCGCTTGACACAGGCACTCACACAGAAAGAGAGAGAGAGAGAGAGAGAGAGAAGGAAACACACCCGCTACCCATTCAGAGTGGAAAAACGCAAAAATACAAACATTAAAAGTCCATTACCATTGCATACTTTTCAGCAGCAGCATGAGACACTTTTTCCCTACCCCTCTTTTCCCCTCTCTGTCCATCTCTTGTTCACCCGTTTCTGAATACATACATTTATTTGACAATTTCAGTTTATTTT